TCAAGGCAAAAGCGAGCAGCCGCCCAGGATGGAAGTCTTTCACGTTGGCCCTTTGCACCGCTGGTGGTGCACAGGACCCTTAAGTAAGTAAGTGAACCACTTTTTGGACTTTCTTTTTGTGCTTTAAAAATGGAGCTAAAAAACTGGGAAAAAAACAAAGGTACAGTACAACTGGACCAGTAATGTCGCTTTTGTAACTTAAAGAGTGAAGCTCTGAACATTTGCTGTGTGACTGTGTTGCACTATTTCATAAACGATGCAGATGGCTTGGTAAGGGTCTGATGAGACCTTGGGAAATCTGGGCTGATGCTCCCAATCAGGTAATATTTTCATAAGGAATGTATTACCTGGTTGAGATAATTGCTTACAACAGTAGTGGTAGTTACTCAAACAATAGTGGCTTACCACTACGTTTTGGCATAAATAAAAAGACGATACACCACAATAGATCAAAGTGATGGTTGCGGTGGTATTATGTCCCCAACATAGGAAAAAAAACCTGCTGACCCATTGTAAAAGAGTTGATAAATAGTAAGTGTGCTTACCTCTGGAAGGAAAAATTGAATGCTGGTACTTCCAGGATGTCTTTTCCAGAATGGTCCCACTGTGCTGCGGTTTGATGGCTTTATGGCAAACATTTCCTACTTTCACTCTTGGTTGTTCGCATGCTTCTCATTACACTCCATAAAGGATGCACATATCCCATTATTGTTTAATTTATTTATTGCATACGAACATGTTAACGTTCACTTACAGCTTTTCTGGATTTTGTACTCAAAATTACTATTGAAAAATATACCATGTATATTTTCCCAGAAAGACTTTACTTTTCTCAACAACTTTGTATCAGACGTCATTTCGATCAGAACTGCCGTTTTCGTGCTACAATGTATTGAAAAATGTCAAAGACGCCATTTTGAAAAAAAGAAATACGGAATTTAAGCAAAAATATGAACGATTGCATATGAACGGTAGAATCTCTGATCCCGGTTCATGAGTTGATGGGTCAATAGGTAGGGTCCAGGTATGGGAGCTGCCTCCCTGGCGTCGGTAGTATTGGTGCTCAGCACGGAAAACAAGATCGACGGAAAACAAATCAAGGACAAAAAAATTAAAGTATGGCCTATACTTATCAATGGAACAACATCATTTAGGTCTATTGCGGATTTGAATTAACGGATTTAACGGATTTTCACTCAAGTGCATACTATTCCTTATATTTTAAGAAAAAAAATAAAACGAATTAGGGATCGTTCATTAATTATGTCACACTTTTAGGGGGGAGGGGGTTTTGGAAACTGTGACGAGCGTTAGAAAAAAAAACAATTAAGGTCCATATAAAAAAATGTGACAAAGGGGGGAGGGGTGGGGGGGTTGAAAATAGGCCAAATTTGCGTGACATAATTAATGGACCTTCCCTTATTCGTCGCGGTTTCGAAGGAATTCTCCAACTTTTCCCAACAACCCATCAAGCGGCGCACAACGGTCTCGTCCACTGTTTTGGCGATTTTATCCCACCAATTTTTCATCTGCGCTGCCGTTTTGGTGGCTGTACCTTTAACCTTCAGTTTCCTCTTCATAATTTCCCAGTAGTTTTCAATGGGCCTGAAACGGGGGACAATTAAGCGGATTGAGGGTTTTCGAAACAACCTTGTCTCCGTTGTCATTGTATCATTGTTGTACTTCCCGGCTGTAGTGACAACTCACAAGATCCGGCCAAAATGTCACCGGACCATCATGTGACTGAATGAAGGTTTAGTTTTGTAAATCTCCGAGTTCATCATTTTGTCAGTGACGAAAACCTTTGTCTTCTGGACGCAGCTGCAAATTCTCTACCAAATCATATATTTGCGAAGTTTGCGATTTTCAGAGTTGGTTGAAGATGCTATCTAACATGAAGCTTTTTGGATTTTTTTTCTACGTTCCTCTTTCATGGTGACTGTCTCCAAAACAAGAGCGTTTTATGAACTGAAAAAAAATACTGTTATTGTTATTGTTGTTGTCAACATATAGACGTCAAAAGCTTCCGAAAACGTCCTATAGAAGCGCTTTAATAAGCAAAATAGTTTATTCCAGTACGAGGTGGGCCAGGGTTTGTCGGCGCCGGTGGTGTAGCGTGACTGCTTTCTCACCCCAATGGGTCTGGGTTCAATCCCAGCCGAGGTCGGTGGGATTTTTCTGAGGCATAAAAATCTCTGGTCACGTCTTCCTTCGGAAGGGAAGTAAAGCCGTCGGCCCATGTGTGTTGAATGGGTGCGATATCCTACGCAGGTGTGGAAGCTGCCTTCCTGCACATCCGATTGCCGTCAATGGATGGCAATAGGGTCCTAATTCATTCCTTTATTTAACGTCGGTCTCTGTCCTGCAATCTAGCGTCAATCACCGACGGACATGTCGGTGATTGGCACTAGATTGCGGAACAGAGACCGACGTTGAATAAAGGAATGAATGAAGACCCTATTACAAATTTGTTGATGCCGCCATCGTATAACCGCAGCAATTGCAACGAAAGCCGCTGCCTTTACCGCAATGACCTCCGGAAATGACAGGATCTTTCTTCTCGATGAGGGGAACAGACTCCTCCGCATGACTGCCAATTCGGAGCTCCCCCCAGTGGCCAAGGTCCACTGGTACGGAGACAAAAGTTGGCGCATACCTCCACCAAAAATCAATAGTCGGATAAAAAGCAGGTTCAAGGCTGGAGATAACTCTGCAGCGCTGAAGAGAACAATAGTCGAACTGCTAGGCTCGGACTATCCAACCCATGCCCACATATACACAGACGGATCGCTTTCCCGAGCCGGGGTCGGAATTGGAGTAGCCGGAATTTCAGCCCCGATGAGTAGCAGCCTACCACCACAATGCTCGGTTTTCTCCGCTGAAGCTGCGGTCATCTTTGTTGCCGTTACAACACCCTCGGACCGGCCCATACTGGTGCTATCCGATTCGTACAGCGTGATACAAGCCCTTACATCGGAGACCATGACTCACCCCTGGATACAGGGTATTGTGGAGGCCACACCTCCCAACACGGTGTTTTCCTGGATCCCTGGGCACTGCGGTATCCCAGGCAACAGCGAAGCCGACAGCCTGGCAGGGTCTGGACCAGCTGGCCCCCGTTACACCGACGAAGTGCCACTACAGGACATAAAGCGATGGATAGTCAGCAAAATGTGGGAAGCCTGGGAAGCAGAGTGGTGCCAATCCCAATCTCTCTTCATCCGAAGAATCAAAGGAACGACAAGCAAGTGGACGGATATGTCGAAACTACGGGACCAGAATATGGTTTCTCGTCTTAGGACAGGCCATACAAGGATCTCACATAGTTTTGGTGGGACGCAGTTCCACAGAATGTGCTACGTTTGCGGAACCACTGCATCGGTGGAACACATTTTATGCCTGTGTCCGCAATACCAACAACTACGGGAGCAGTACTCACTTCTCAACAGCATTAGGGACATACTGAGTGACGAACCTTCCACTTTAGCGACAGTTATTTATTTCCTCAAGGACGCTGGGTTATACAACAACATTTAGGTCCTTTTAACTTTCTTTTGGCTGACGGTACATCTCTACCGTACGGGGGATTACCCCTCCTACGGTGGAGCTCCGATCTCTTTCAGAAGCCTACCTAACTTTGATGTACCAGATTTCTTTTTTTTTCTCGTTGCCTGTATTGTTAGTCTTTTTACTGGAATCTATTTTAATTGCTTCTATTTGAGTACATGTGAATTTTAAGCCAACTCCGTAACAAAATTTGCTAGCAGAACCCCCCTCTGGGGCCTCCCATTTTATAGAGATGAACTAGCCAACGGCTAAAAATCTCTCTAATAAAGTTAAAAAAAAATGTTGATGCTATTAAGGAAGGTACGCATCTGCCCATCCAGTTATGCACTAACTACTCATAGTCAATTATCAGTTCCACCTATGTTTGATTTTCTATATAGACACCGATTACATTATGGGTATTGTGGTTACCAACACGTGGATTGTATGGATCTGCTTTACCAGTTAACAACAGATGTAGTGAATATCAGTGCTGTAAATTCTCAAAATCATTTGATCCTTTTTGATAAAGATGAGAAAAGTAGCTATTCGCTATCAAAGGGGACCTCCTCCGAATGGATGATATAAGTTGCTTAGTCATTTGACGAAGGCATGGATCATTCTCATTTGAGAAACGCTATATATCATTCAATTGAGTGTAACATACACACAAACGGAGCTCTGGTCGACATTCCGGCGAAAAAGCTAAGCCAACCCGAAACCAACCTGACTTCTATCAAACCCCAACCCGATGTTGGCCCGACATAAACCCAAAATTGACCCGACAACAACACGACATTGGGTCGACATCGACCTTAATTTAGCCTTACTCCACTGTCGTGTATCAAATGATAGTGAGTGACTCAATTGACTGTGACAATGAGCTTTGAATGAGCAAGGGGCTCTTCAAATTACGGTCATGTGAGAATTTGTTTACACAGAATTGATTGAATGGTTATATTGGATCATCCTCAATCGAATGATATGAAAATTTACAGCACTGGTGTATATGACTATGAATGTTATGTTTAGGACCGTCCACAATGACCACCTCATTGATATGTTATTCTCGGAAACCTTCAAGAGCACCTTCGAGTTACGCTTGTACTCTATGGAGTACCGCTTGATAGGACATTTAGCCCCCGTTTCAGATATTTAGAGCGAAAAATTAATTTTTCCCGATTATTTTATGTTACAATCAAATTCAACAGCAGATGACCAACCTAACACTTAAAATACAAAAAAGCAATTCAACCATCACTACTAGAGTACTAACGTTCATGTGCATGAACGCGAAAGTGACTCCTCCTTTCCACATTCAAGTCAAATGCAAACTAAACCTTGACCATGGGTGGTAATTCCTTCCCATTGCAGCGAACCCAATTGACCCTTAGATGGTATAAATTTTAAATGTATAATGCCATACAAAAAAACAACAACAACAAATGACTCACCTCGCCTTGATCAAATCATTCCGCAGTTGCTCCTCCACGTGCGTGTTCAACGACTGAATACTGGAATTAGCACTCCGGAACTCCTGCTCCTGCAGCGAACTTCGCTTGCTGCTGTTGGCACTGCTGGAAACACTTTGCTCTTGCAGTTTGTTGATCTCCTTCCGCAGATTTTCGCACTTCCGTTGCATTTCTTCGCTCATCTTATCCGAAACTTGCTTCGCCTCTTCCATCTGAATGGTCATTCTCCGTTTGATGTTATCCACGAACTTCTCATGCGAATGTTCCGCGTTCTTCACGTTATTCTCGTACTCCTGTAGACGCGTTCGCAGTTCGCGCACTTGCTCCTCCTGGTTGACACGTAACTCCTTCTCCGCTTTCCACTTTTGCTTCAGTTCCACATTCTTCGCTTCGTACGCCGCCAGCAGTTGGGTGTGACTGCGATCGTACTCCTCCTTGTCCGCCAGTAACTGATTCTTGGACTTTTTCAACAGGTCCTTATAGTTCTCGACCATCTGTTGCAGCTGTGAGCATTCCTCCACCTGCGACCGTAGCTCATTCGTCTGCGTTCGAAACCTCTCAGTCAGCGTACTGATCTCAGTTCGCCTCTCGGCTATTTGCTTCTCATAGTTTTGATCCGAACTCTGTTTAGCCCGTTCCCATTTTTTATAGGTCTGCTTCAGCAAATCCGCTATCGTGGCATCGTTCTTTGCACGCTGCTCTTCTTCGATTTTCAATCGATTCTTTAATGTTTTAATATCAGTCTTCGACGCAGCCAGTTCGGCCGTTTTCAACTTTAACAGTTCTTGTAGATTTTGTAGCTCTTTCTTGGTTTCACCGAAAATCTTGCTATGAGCATTGATGGTTGCAATTTTACGGTCCTTTTCCAGCAGGGCTTTTTGCAGTTGATGAATTTCGTTCGTGTGATCTTTGATCACTCGATCTTGTTCCTTAAGCTTGTGTGAAAGTCGTGTCGTTGCCATGTGCTCATCCGTATCCCGATACTTTCCAGCGGGATCTGCCTCCTCATAGACGTACGTGTAGCCAAGGAAAGGAAGGTTTTGCCCACTGAAGTCGTTGACCTTGGAAATCGGATAGGTCGGCTTGTTGATGAAAGCATTTCTCTTGAGCGACTTATCAACATCCTCAAAGTTGGAAATGTCGTCATCGCTGCTCACCGTAGGAATGATCGGTGGAATCCGGTATCTTAACTTTTCCCAGTTGATATCACTGAAGAATGGATGCTTCTTGATTTCTTTGTAGTCTATTCGGTTGGATACCTTCGTAACCAACCGATCAAGTAGATCTCGATAATGCGCAGAAATGGAAACGTGTGCGGGATATTCCAACTTTTTTGCGAAACGTCCATCGCAGTGCGATAAAATCCTCGAGTATGTTTCGTTAACGTTCTCGTCGTGGAACGGTGTCGTCTCGGTTATAAATTCGTAGCCGATAATTCCCATGGACCAGAAGTCGCACGTTACGTCGTGATTGCCCCGGGAAGACTTGGTCAGGGTGGAAAGCGTCTGCAGCAACTCCGGAGCGATGTAATCCGGTGTTCCGACCGGTGTCATGCTTGTCACGCTACCATCCTTGTTGATGGCCGTTGCATTGCCAAAATCAGCCAGCTTGAGATGGCCAAAGCGATCCAGGAGGATGTTTTCCGGTTTGATGTCACGGTGGACGTACCCTATGCTGTGCAGAGAGTGCAGGGCTTCCGTCAGTTCGGCCACGTAGAACTGGGCCAACTCTTCGTCGAATACACCGATGCGGATCATGAGACTGAGCAGATCACCACCGGGAAGATACTCCATCACCAGGTAGAGACACTCTTGGTCCTGGAAAAGGAAGAGAAGATGATTTTTTAAATGTCTCTCAGATCAGTTGGCATTGTTACTAATGAATTATTGTCCATGAAATTTATCGTATCGCTGTTTTTTTTTAATCAGAGATTGACCTCTTCCCCGAGGCTTATCTCAACCTGCAACTTTGCAGGACATTATTTGGCTCTATCTTATAGCCCGAATTTGTGTACCCGTCACGGTAAGGGGAAATGCTTAAATGACGCAGCATTGTAGCGGGATCAGCCATGTAGAAAAATACCCTACAATGGGGAGGGGACCAAAATTGGTGCTTCATGAAACGTAAACACACGTTAAACGTTTGATTACGTTTGATGAAGTACCATCTTTGGATCCTTTCCCTCCCCCTTGTAACGCATTTTTGTTCATGGCTGGTCACCCTAAAACACTACATCATCTACGCATCTTCCCTTAGCATCATCGTCACACTCAGAAGGGTTAAGAGTTTAGGTAAAATACTATGAACTTGCCACTGACGTTTCTCGGATATTTATGGAATTCCTGTGGAATTACCCTGAGACTTTTCGGACATGACCTGAATCTTTCCTTTTAGTTCCCTTTTTTTAATTTCCACGGACGGATTTTCAAATATGTTCATGAAGCTTTAAAAAAAATTTAAAGAAATTCATTAAGAAAAAAGCCAAGAAAGCATTCTATTGAAGAATTCCCCTGAGAAGCACGTGGAAAAAAGTTTGTTTCCATCACACATGAATGATATCCATAACGACCGTCAAAGGTTAAGATCCACAACAAATAACTCACCCATGAGTAACCACTTCACAGATTTAAGTGACACTGACCGGTTTGCTTCAGATCACCAAGCAAGACATGTATAACTGCATGCATCTGCAGCAGATGTTCCCCTTGCTGTATTATGCTTTACATGCCACACAACACAAACATTTGCTACAAACGGGAATTATCCTGTTCAAAGGCGAAGGGGACACAGCAGCGCGAACGCAAGAACGCGAAAAGGCACCGGCAAAGAAGGGGACAAAAGAAAACAACAGCAAACCCACCTGAAACGCATACTGCAGCGACGTGATCCAGTCCGACCGTCTCGAGGCCATAATGTCGCGCTCCTCGCGAATCTGCGTAGAAGTAACCATCGCTTTGCGCATCTTCTTCATCGCGTACACCTCACCGGTGGTAGATTCCGATACGAGCTAAAATATACAACTTGGCTATAACATTGATGGAAAATTAGGTAGGAGCTTTGTGCAATAGGCTTACATGAACTTCTCCAAAGTATCCTTTGCCGATAAGGTTCTTCACATTGAAATCATTCACGTTGACTCGTATGGTACGAGTCTCGTTGATGATTGGCCGATCTGAAATGAGATAATTCGGTTTTATGTTTAATAAAGCTGTATATGCTACATACTCATTAATTGCTTTTTTCTACGTGAAGTACTAATTCATGAAGAGTGAAAGACTTAGGGTTTAACGTACAGTAACTCACATTACTATGCAGGTAGGTATCTAAGTACGATTAACGATTCTGAGGGTATGTCAACAACTCCGCTGAATCGGTGCATGAAAGGATGAAATATTATTAATTACTTACATACTCAGATAGTTAGTTAATAACACGAAAGATTATTAGCTTTACAAGGAAAGATAGGTAAACTGTTAGGTAATAATTGTAAAAAGGACAGAGAATCGAATAGATTGTATCTCTTTAAAAAAAAACTTATCTTCGTCATTTTAAAATGCATGCAAACGTATAAGTTTCTGATGTTAATAAGTGAATTAAATAACGATTATTACTGTAATAATTTATTGTTTAATTATTCATGCAGTTGTTGAACAACACGAATCAGCCTCAGAACCAACCCAACACAGCCAAAACACAGGGACATCCCTACTTACATTTGTTGACAAAATCGGCCACATTCTTATCCTTCTTCTTAATGACATCCTTGCTGCACTCCTCGTACAGCACAAACAGCGAATCCAGTAGCCCCTCCCGGGAAAGGGCACTATCCATTACCGATCCATATCCATCGTCGGTCGGATTCAGACCGGTATATTCTGCGGCCGCTGTAGAAACCGACCGGCCGAGAATGAAATTGTTCAGACGCGCAGTGCGCGCGCTTATCCGTTGTTTGGTATTCATCTTCACAGAAGTAAAATAAAAATCACCCGCGTCAGTAGTCTATTCTCACAACGCACAATATGAAGTCTTTTTTTGTTAATTTAAAATACATTTTTCACGAACAGACACTAATTTTCACGCGAACCCCGGGACATTTTCGACCGATTTTCCCGTTTGTTTATTCCGATTGCTTCGAGTGAGGTTAGTGCGCGAACCGAAAACCGTTGCAGAAAGTGAATCCTTCAAGTGTTGCCATCCAATCGGAACTGAAGAACCGGCAGCGAAAAAATCGACGAACAAGTGAAACGAGGGGGATGCCACTAGTTAATAATAAAAATATTAAAAATAAAATATATTTTTTTTTTTTTTTCATGTTTTGTGAAATCGAGCCTTAGAAGAATACTAAGATGAAATATTCGGAAGAAAAACTTTCTATTTTATAGCGATTCGTTTATTATCGGGTTGAAAGCAGTTCCAACCCAGTGCGAAACCGATTTTTTTTTGTCAGTGCGAACCTCAACCTGAGCTATCTATAGGTTTTAAAAACAAACGAGCAAACTGACGTTTTCAGAAAACAAGCAGACCCAATAGGCTGTTTCTGTGCACCACCAATGTAGAGTGCGCTAGGTGATTATGAGAGGTAACGTCAACCAAATCGTTTGATTACATCAAAATGACATTTTGATGTAACATAATATCTCAAATTAACGCATATTGTTATGCGTATCTTGCATATTTCCATCGGGAGGGGTCTTAATTTTTTCACATATTTGAACGGATTTACAGCTCAAATAACACCGCATTAAAAATCCGGAAGATCATAATCGCTGGGGTAGATTTATAAATCTTCACTTTTCTTAACAAAAATATGTGGAAGCACCAGCCAGATCAAATAAAATATTCCATGTGGATGATGATTACAAGCACCTGCGATGGATAAATTAATCATAAAAGGTAAAAACATTTTCCTCTTCTTATGCTTCACGGCGAAAATTTCAGCACTCATCACTCTTTTGATGGTTCCCTTATTCACCACAACACCAGAGAATGAAACGATCGCGTAGTTTCTATTGGATTCACCTATCTTGATACCCGATCCAGGTTGGAACTGAATGATAAACGAATTCTCTATTAGTGTCCTACTTTACGGTCCCTTTCATCCAATGAATGCAAGGTAATTTTGTGGTTTTGCTGCCCCCTCGGTGGAGATGAAATTTTGCGCATCAAAATCAGAGATGTCCCGTTTTTTAATTACTATTTTTTGTTTGCTGTACTGTCATTTTTCTACCAATGAGAGTGCAGCACATGTTTGAAACGATGGGTGATGATCCTCTAGGGAAGTTAATGGCATGATAATATATCCGATTAGAAATATTTTACTTTTCGTTAATCGAATATTCGAATGAAAATTGGCCATCACTAGATGAATGTGAAACCTCGATCTAAGATTCAGAAAAAATTTTGCTTTGCTTTTATGAGATGCACTCACGCTTAAAAGATAGGAATAAGATAGATAATGATTTTGAAGAAGATTTCCTGCAAAAAGGTGCAGAGCAATGCGATGCGAGAAGATGAAAAAAGTTTTTTTGTAGATTGATTCCCTGACATCAGATTTTTTAACCATCTAAAATTGAGATTTAGGCTCTAAACCATTTGGTGGATTATTTTAGCCATGAGTTTAATTTGACATATGGAAAGTTATCGATTAACCTTGCTATCTGAGCGTGGTTACTTCTGACGGACAAGAAGTTAAATTTTGACAACTGTGGCTGCGTTCTTCTCGAAAATAGAAAATAGCTTTCGAAATGTCACTTTTAACCGAGGGGACGGCTCTATCTACGCTGCAGGAAAAATTGTGTTGTGCTGTGGCTAGCTGCTCGCACACTGAGTAGATAGAAAGAAGATTGATGACGATTCTGAAGATTTCTTGCAAAAAGATGATGCACGATGCATGTAGATGCAAAAAACGCAAGAAGATTTTTCGAAGATTGATTCGCTAGTGAGAGATTTTTTGAGCATCTAGAATTGAGATTTAGATGTGTCGCTCCCTCGCTTTTAACCATGAGTTAAATTTAACTCGTCAAATGGTTCACAGCTTTAGATGTGTCGCACCTCTAGCAAATATTATTACATGTAGATGGAAGTATAGTCGCTATATTCATAGTCTTTTGGATAGAATTTCGATCTATCAAAAAGCCGAACCAATTCAATATATTTTAGACCAACAATTGAAAAGGTACTATCAACTTTTATAAACAAAACGTTGATTATTCTTTCTTCGCCAATCGAACGAAAATTACCAGCATCATCGGATAAGGGAAACTTTCCCCAACCCAAAGATGGTGTTAGTTTGCGCAGACGAGCCTTGAGTCATGAGAAAAGGGTTTCCTAAGTTTTGTTCGCAATAGCTGTTGTGCTCTTTTCTGTTGTTGGTCGTGATTTGTTCGATTTGTTGCGCTATTTGACAGTTCAATTGGTTCCCGAGATTCTATTCGCCAGACTATGAATATAGCGACTATAGATGGAAGATGCCCCCATCTGTTCGATGGTATTGTGATTGAATGGTCATTTGCGAGACATCGACGAAGGACACAAGCTTCTAAGAAAATTCCATTACAGCAAACCACATTAATTTAATTGATTTCTTCGCCAGTTAGTCGTCTGTCACTTCGTTTGTGTCAATAGGCTAGTCAAGTAGTGAGCCAATTTAAAATCGTTAGTTTCCACCGGTTGGTATACCTGTATATTGTTCAAATTTAATAAACAACATATAAACATCATATGCTTTACATATGCCAATGACCGTCATGTATACAGTGACACATAACAAAAAATCATAACAATAACTAATAAACAAATACTATAAACGAACTATATCCCGGATGGATAAACCATCCCACGAATTGTTTGGATGATACTCTCTTTTATAGTTATTTTATTAGGGATAATAACGACAATAATATTTTAATGATTCTGCATCGCTTCGTTGAACCCCCAGTGCGATTGTTGTTCATCGATAAAATTTTAAAACATCAACAATCGACGAAGCCATTGAACTGAAATTATTTTATTTTCTTTTAATGTTGCTGTCAAACTGTCAAGTGAGTCGAAAAAAAAATCAACACTCAAAGCGAAGCAAAACATTAAAATTTTCGCAAGTTTCGTTTATTATGGTCAATAAGAGAAAATTTATGTTGAAAATCGTGAAAAATTGCAGCTCCTTTTGAAAATTGTGATCAAGTGCGTATTCGCGCATCGAATTGTACAAAGACCTGCTGCAACCGGACGGGCTGCCGTCAAAGTGCTCAATTTGTGCTCATCATCCGCAAATAGAAAGAGTTAAAAAAAATTAACATGTCTGTGCTTTGGTGTGGTTTATAGTGTTTTTTTTCTCTGGTAAATAGAAGTGAAAACCAACTTTGCGCTTTTGAGCAATTCAAGCAATCGAAAACATACGACGTGATTCCGTCCCATCTGTCGTCGCTGAGAATCTGTGTCCAAGAGTGCGTGGATTTGATACATTTTTAAATCGAATTAGGAAGTAGTCTTAGCCACACAATGAATTCCGCCGGGAGTTTCCGTGGTTCCAGCGCCGCGAGTGGTAGGGAGCCCAACAAACGTTTCTCGATTCACGATGCCTTCGAGGAAGAAACGGATGAGGTAATCAAAGTTTACGGATCAACTGTGATATCAACGCCGATGCGGGCCAAGGCCAGATCCCCGGATGATGTGTCCATACGGGTACATCACGATCAGAGGTAAGCGGGCTTTTATTTGTGTGGTTTGTAATTACCTGGTAGATTTTGCTAGGAAGTAGGGTGCTTTGGCAATCACGAACCTAACACTAACAAAGAAGGAACCGGTGGACTGCACACCTCCCACGTCGGAATAGTGATTCCAGAATCTGGTTTTCTCTTTTCTTTTCCCTCACACTACCACTATCACCTCCCTTCCGTAATGGTGCTTGGGTCTATACGCTTCAACTTCCCCCGAACGTAAACTCAGGACGCTAAAGTACACCGATGATACCACCTCCAGGGATAGCGACTCGTTAATACAGGAATACGGCAACCTGTCCTCCAATGACACCTACACCTACTGTTGGCGCCATCCGAAAGTCCGTGAAAACTGGCGAACCGTACTAGCCGCCGCCACTCTACTAGTCATCGGAACCGGCCTGATAGCGATGGGAGCGTACGCAATCGCTGAACCACACAACGGGTCCCAGGCTGCCGTGTTCTTCGTAGCCGGATTCATCTGTTTCGTGCCGGGAGCGTATCACGTCGTGTACATCTGGCTGGCCGCACGGGGCTACCGGGGATTCGACTTCTACCATCTGCCTTTGTTCACGTAAGGCAATAGAAGAAGAAGCAGAAGCAGAAAATCGTTTTGCTGTACGAAGAAAATATACTACACAAGTTTGCTCATACTTCCTTCCCTCGGGAGAAGGATCGGTTTGAAGGGCTTGGAAGAACTCATTGAACATAAAACTCAGCATAATGAGATGTGATTAAACTGTAAGTCGGTTAGGTACCTTTTTTATTTTTCGAAATTTAATTAGACACAGTAGCTCTCTTTCTATCCAGTGAAGAGATTTGAGCTAATAAATTATTTTTTATCTTGTAACGGTTAGGCGATATATACACTCTCTTATGTATAGAAGTAATTTTCATAATAGAACTCAATATATTTTTATTCGAATTGAACAAGACTAATAACCTAATGCTCTCAATTGATATTTTGTCGAAAAATGTTAAGATGTGCTACTGTACTGGGTGTGGAGTTCTTGAGTGCTGCTCGTTATTTATTTTCTTTTCGGTAAAATTTAGGAGTGTTCATCCAGTTCATCGGCAAATATTGGGCATATTTACATTGCTAAGCAAATCAAAATTTCGGACATTGGTAAGATACACCGTCGCTTACTGAGCCACTGATTTAACTTTATGATAATTTTGGATTTGATAGCATTTTATAATGTTAACTCTCGAGCTGGGTTCAATGCAAAAATGGTACATGCATCGAAAGCTCTCAATTAATAACCGTGGAAGTGCATCTAGAACACTAAGTTGAGCGTTGGGAGAAATCTTCCATTTTTGTAAATAAGAAGAGAAAACATCTAAACTTTTCTGCAGTCTGCTGCAAATAACACGAAGACTTTTTCCTTTAGCGGAAATGCCTGTGTCATCAGCGAACAAAGATTTGTGGCAACCCTGATTCAAATCAGGGAGGTCCGAAATGAAAATGTCATACAATATAGTCCCAAGAATGCTACCCTGGGGGACTCCAGCTCTAAAAGGTAGTCGTTCAGATTTAGAATTTTGATAATTTACCTGCAGAGTTCTGTCAGTTAAATAATTTTGAACTAATTTCATAGTATAGAGTGGAAAATTAAACTTTTCCAATCTAGCAATCAAACCTTTATGCCAAACACTGTCGCATGCTTTTTCTATGTTTAGAAGAGCAACTCCAGTTGAGCAGCCTGCAGATTTGTTTGAAGGAATCAATCTTAAGAGTTGATGAGTAGTTGAATGCCCATGGCGAAATACAAACTGGTCATCTGCAAAAATTGCGTTCGTATTGATGTGAAGCATCTGTCTATTTAAAATCATCTTTTCAAAAAGTTTATCTATTGAAGAAAGCAAACTTATTGGACGATAGCTAGAAGCTTCAGCTGAATTTTTATCCGGCTTAAAAATTGGAACAACTCCTAAATGGAAACATTTGTTAAATAGTTTAATTTAAATTTCATGGCAGGATCGCGTGTTCTTTGATATGCCTCCTACGGACATTTTGCAGACGGAACAAGAGCCGAAGAGCGTCTTTTATTATAGATGAATCAAATTTAACCTCGCATTTTGGTACTGAGGCAGCTCTTGCATCAACTATAGAAGTAGTCAGAGATCCAAGAGCATAATTAACATCATATTTGGTTTGCAAAGGTATGTTTGGATCAAAGCTATATTCCATAAATGTTCGATATTGCTCCCAATCAGGTCTATGGTAATTGAAAGTAGAGCTGTTGGGATTAAAAATTATTTCTTGGGATATTTGAATAGTTACTGGAAGGTAATCAGCATGGGTGGCTACAAAGTTGACATGAATCAGTTAAGTCCAAATCAATCGTTGAGGGATTTCTTGCTGAAGAAAATCCTGTTGGGCTGTTTGGATATTGATTAGTGTAATAACCTGCAGAACAATCATCAAACCGAATATTACCATTGGAATTAGTTGGTACATTATTCTCAAAAAGTTAAATCACAGACAAACAGACGTAACTCTTCATTGTGTATCTTCGTACATGCATTTAACGGTTGATTTGAATATTATCAGTTCCGCGAACTACTCGCCGCAGCGCTGGCATCGGATCACTTTGACGTTTCTATACATTCTATAGAACTTTTATGCAATATTGTTTGCGAGCTAGCGAGCAAGCTTGTTTTCCGCGAGAAGCCCGAGAGATGTCGTTACTGAGGTCATATGTTTTGAGATACTATGTTTTCAAGAAAAACTTTTTCAAAGAGTTACGTCTGTTTGTCTGTGGTTAAATAGCTCGTTTTCATTATGAAGACATTGGCACGGATGAAGTCTGCAAGTAGGAGACGAAATACGCGTATCTGTCAAAAGATTAGCAATTATAACGGAATTTAAAGGAAATAAACCAACACACTCAAAGCTCTTCATAAAGGGATTCCGTTAAGAGGTTCGACAAATTTTAAAGATCATTTTCATTATCTTTCCCCTGCCCGGTGATTTTGATGGTTTGCGTTGGTGTCATATGGGTGGCGTAAAAAGGGCATAAGAAGGTTTGTTTACAAAAAGCTTGTATGCCCTTTTCACATGTTGTTCTTGATACGAGAAACGAACGGACCTCAGATGAAATACGCAATGCTTTCTGTAGAATTGGTTCAGCCCCTTAACGCAAATCATCCAAAACGATGATGTTAATAATTCTATCGAGCGTCATTAGCTGATCTGAGCTGACAAACGAGGTGGAAACATAGTCACCTTTAAGAGGTGGTACGAATATTGGTAAAACGTGGAAACCGAAGATTGCCTATTTCATACTAAACGAAGTTTCCTCTACCAACAATCGATTTGTAAATCCAAGATGGAATGGCTTATCATAGATATACAATACGGAAATGTAAACAATGACTACAATACGAAATTTGGATGCCAGTCATCAGCTGACGATGAATCATCCGAATTTTGAAAGCGTGGGCTCGAGCAATGCAATAATTATTCGATGTTTTTTTTTTTCGTTCAGTGCACAGTTTCACAGTTTCACAGAATTTTTGTTCGTTACACTTTATTTCAAAACTACCTACATTTGGGTAGAATCGAAGACAACATATCAAGAATACTGGCAACTCTGTCAGAATCCAAGCGACAGATACAGTAGTGCTGCGCTCGAGTGAAGCTGGAAGTAACGCTTTGATGTCTTCGGTAGAATACACCCTGATCGGTCAAAACTGAACCTACCTAAAAATAAGGGGGCGACACATCTAAATCTCAATTCTAGATGCTAAAAAAATCTCACACTAGCGAATAAATCTTCGAAAAATCTTCTTTAATTTCTCGCACCTACTTGCATCGCGCATCATCTTTTTGCAGGAATTCTTCAAAATCGTGATAAATCTTCTTTCTATCTACTCAGCGTACGCGCAGCTAACCACAGCAAAACAATATTTCCTGCATCGTAGATAGAGTCGTCCCCCTCGCCTAAAAATTGGTTAACTGTGTTGGGGACAAATTGAAAAAGTACATCACCGATATGAATCCGATCGACCAATGTAACTACATGTAGACGACTGCATCGATTGATTTGAGTTCATGTACTGATCAATGTTCATTAATAATGAATATTTAGTGTTCATTTTAAGTAAACATTGCCCCGCTCTCCTGTCAAATTTTCTTCAGTTCATGAACTCTAATTCATCGGTGCACTCGTCTATGGACGAGTGCACCGATGGATTTGAGTTCACTCATTTGAGAAAAAGTGACACAAGCTGCGGGCAATGTTTACTAATCATGAATACTAAATGTTCATTATTCATTTTTCATGGACATTTAGTGTTCATGATTAGTAAACATTGCCCGCAGCTTGTGTCACTTATTCTCGAGTGAGCAGTGGCGTCGCCTTAACCTCAATCTACGTGTGCACCAACTCTCAAAACATAAACAATTATCAAAATATTGCTTGCAATCGATAGATATCGAGTTAACTAGAAGATTAAGTGTGTTTTTCAACCGATTCGAGTATGAATATGGCATTAAATCTGTTTTTGAAAGTTGGTGCACAGGTAAAAAGTGAGGTTACGCGGCGCCACTGCGAGTGAGTGAACTCAAATTCATCGGTGCACTGGTCCATAGGTGTTCTAATGTGTAAAATTCATGATTCAGCCATGTTGGATTTTTGTATGGGACAGGAACCGAGTTTATTTACAATTTGCTCTAAAACCGCACTCGCCCATGTAGTGACAAAGTTGTTTTACCATGCGATCGTCGTTGTTCATTTGTCACTCTCAACACAGTTTACCTATTTTTGGGTAGATTCAGTTTTGATTGATATATATGGGTGGATTCTGTCCAAAATTGGGTGGAATTTAAAATAGCGTGGATACCAAGGGGTAAGTCACCCCAATCTTAGGTGATATTTTTTGTCACTTTGACGCAAGTGTGCCGATTGTGCCGGTCATAGAGCAAGCTGCGATTGTTTGTAAAATACCCATCCCGGCAACCCGGTATATCTGACACCTTGAATGTTTTGGTTTGAAATTGCAAGGATAAATGGGATCGAGGATGATGCGAGAAGTGACGGATGTGCGTAATTGTGGTGTTTTTGAAAAAAGTCTTGTGTTTTAGTGTTTTATAATGCCCTCAAAGGCAGACCAGAAACCTTGCCTTTCGTGATGTGAAAAGCATCGGTCAATCAGCGGCCGGAAAGAGTTGGAACCGGTGGGGAGCATTTTTTGAGACCGACTATAGAGGAAGATCAATAGACTTCTTTGGTTTGTTTTGTTTGATTTGCAGTATTATTTGAATTAAGGATACTAATGGGGTCTGATCAACTCCCTCTTTCTCTTGAGCCCACTCTAGAATCTACATTTCGTATTTAGATCTATAAGTGAAGTGCTGGTCTGAGTTGCTCTGGAATTTTCAATTACATTATGTTCCTGAATATACAGTCAAACAGCACGTAATGTTGTGAACGACTTCAATGGCAGTTGTCCAGTAGTGCTCCCATTTTATTTACAACAATCCAATGCCTACGAGATTGAGTCGAAGGTGTGTCGAAGGATGTGCCCAAGCTGTTCCGAATCTAATTTCGGCACAATGTGCTGAGTGACTTATCCCTTGGTGGATACTGTGTTTACTATACACGCTATTTATAAACTACCCAAATTTGAGTAGAATCCACTAAAATCTGGTCAAAAGTGAAGCTACTCAAAATTGAGTAAACTATGTTGGGAATAACAAGTTGACAAATGGACAACGTCAACCTTAATCCGATCGTTGTTATTCATTTACCAACTTGTCAATCCCAAGTTATTTTACTAATTTTTATAAGATCCTACTCAAATTTGGGTGATTTAGAAATAGCGTGTATCTGATAGCCCGGTCATACACGGCCAATGAGATCAACCCAAATTTGAGTTCAGTTAACCACTTCATTCGAGCAGTTAAAATGACGTTTACTACCACTCGAACTTTGAAATAAAACATTATTTTGAGATTTTTTCTTCTAGAACCACGAGAAAAGAGGCCAACATTTGTGCGTTTCATAAAAAAATAGAAATTAGTTGGTCCAGTTTTGTGAAATCGCTGGTAGAAAGTCACGCCAAAACTGCTTGACAAAGTGGTCAGTTTACTCATAAATCGTAAAAAGTGCAGTAACTCAGCGATGAGTAATTTGCCTCATGTTTTTCCTGGGTTTTCCAGGAAAAAAAATTCTCGAATATGAGAAAAGTAAAGATTGGACTATCTCTTTCGATTGCCACTACTCCTAAAATAAATAAAATTTTCGTTAATTTTTGACATGAGGCAAATTTATGTTTATGTCTGTTCATTATAGTCAATTTAACATATTTTCAGTCACTCATGACTTGTATTTTATTAAATTGGAGCCTGAAATAGTTAGTCTATTTTTATTTCATAACTGAGTTTTTCGAAAGTAGTTAAAGTTTATTTAAATTTAACTTAGCGGCGCCGATGGTGTAGTGGTACTCCAAAGGGCCCAGCTTCAATCCCAGTCGGATCACACCTTCCTTCGGAAGGGAAGTAAAGCCGTTGCTCCCGGTCCATGAGTTGATAAGTCGACAAGTAGGGTCCAAGTGTGGGAGTTGCCTTTCTGGCGTCGGTAGCATTGGTGCTCAGTACGGAAAATAAGATTGACCGAAATCAAGGAAAAACATAAATTTAAAGTATTCATCTGTTTGGACAGCTTTAAGCAATGATATGTATGGATTTGCCGATTGAAAATTGGGATTTCTGTAAATTGATTGTT